TCAAAGACAAAAAGAATTAATTAATAACTCGCAAGAAGTTCTAAACCTACCTCCTGTTGATTGTGGTTGTTACGGAAACCGCGTCACCATTTGGCGCCAAAACAGCCACATGCGTTGTGCCGTAATCAGCATCTGAGAATGATTGCGCGTAATATTTCACATCCTTGAACGTCATGCTATCCCGTATTTTGTGACGTAACCGGTCGCCTGTTTCTTGACTTAACATCTTTCTAGCGACCTGTGGTGAAACGTTGTGCAGACTTTAAGAAAGTATTCTTGGAAAAACTCCGCTCTCTGATGGACTGAAGAACATGTTTCTGTAACTCGTTCGTATAATTCGCTGGAAGGCTATTCACAGTTTTGCAATTTGATTGATTAGGCAGCCATCTACTATGAAAAATTAGATTATGAGATCGAGATTTCTCCGAGGTGGTTTAGTCGTTCCACTGTTTATTAACGCTAAGTTTTTGCCTTTAAACTTTTTATACTACAAACTTTATCTGAATTGATGCACGTCGTTAGCACTGCTTCTGTTCCAATTAACATACTTAAATTATTTACGAAACTGTCCAGTGTCCATTCGAATTCTTACAACACGCGCTCTTCTACTTCCGATAATTTCTTACACAAAACCCTCACTAAAACTTGAACTAAAAAAATAGTCGATTTCAAGAATTGGTGGTAAACTAAGGAATGCGATACCAAGCTTCCTGAGAAAACTATCAAAAGAAATCATTCAAACTCAGAATTAAAAACAAGTTATTAAGTGTTCTCGAGACGAAGATTCCTTCATTGAGGTACACCAGATTATTTCTAAATTAAAATATCAGTGGTAGTAAAAAAAAAAAAAGAATTATTTCGTAAATCTGATAACCCCTCACTTCTTTTCTCATTCTTTCCCCACCTTTTTCTTTTATTCACATTTTTCCTAACTTTCTATTTTCCTATTTACTAATAAAAGACACTTGTATCTTGATAGACTGACCCGCCTAGACTAGCACTAGCTATCCGAGGGCAAGCCCAGCTGTAAAGTGTAAATTAAGAAATAAAATCTGATTGAAATTGATTGAAATTGTCATCATGAACTATCACGTCTTAGAAATCGAGAGCGATGATTTCTTTTGTTCGCATGGTGCATGTATCGCGCACACTTTCATTGTCGTGGTGTGCCCGGACTTATCTGTCGTTTCAATAATTTCGTACGCATAGAAATCGACGTTGTGTTTAAACAAACCGACCGTTTGCTCTCAGTTTCTGAAATTAACGATTAACTAGTCGGGGGAACCGACTATAGGTTTACCCTCGTATTTCGTATCAAAGCTCAGCCACGTGCAATGGGCAATACCGCAGACTCGTCGTAAAGGCTCAACTTTCTTTTCACGATGTCGGAGTCGATGCCGAAAGGTAAATATTTATGTCGAATATGTTAACAAATGGTGCCATCTTTTCTACGTTCAAACATACAGACCCGCTCACCGTTTGCGGTAGATCCACTCTAAAAGATGGCGTAGTCAATGAGGGTATATTTCGAAACGGGTCGTTCCGCGAACTCAAAATAGCGAGAGAGTCGAATGATTTAGCGAAGATCTTACTAGAACCAACTGAACCAGAAATCAAATGACTTTTATGAGTTATCAATGAACAGAAAATATGGACAGAGTGTTACTTCAGAATTTACGAAAGTTTTAAGTGCTGATAAAGACAAGGTGCATCGTGATAAAACTCAGGAAACTACAACAAAGATGCCATGTTTGACTACAAAAGTGGCTTTCATCAGGGTGAAGAGAAACGGAATGGTCATATTTATGTGATCTCTGTCATGATTATTACATTTAGTTTTGTTTTTGCTCAATCAGAATGCATTATCAGTTGTTATTTTTCCATTAGTTTTGTCGAGTGTTTGTGTGGTATCAAATAACGTGGTGATGTATTCTTGGTTTTCATGCGATGCAGTCATATTTTTAAAAAAAATACCTTTTCTTCGGAGGTTTTAGTTTTATCAGACCCTTTAGGAACTTGACGTCTCACAACGTTTTAGTTCGACAAGATTCTTCGTTTTGTAATGGGGCACGTTTGATTTTCCAAGCTTTTGCGTTGCGTGACATTAAATGGCGGCCCGAGAGGGCTATCGCGTAGGTCAAACGATGAGTTATCGCTTTAGTTCTTGCTAACTGGACAGTTCTTGCCCAAGAAGAAGTATCAATTTCAACGTGTCGGAACTCTGGAGTAATAACGTTTTGTTTCAATTGCAAAACTCAATGACAGATGTTTCTGTTACTTTACGGCCGCCAAAGCTCAGTAAATATTTTTCCCGATAACGCGCGAATGAAAAACTGCAGATGTCTAATCTCTTGGCGAAGTTGTTTATCTATCAATCGTCTATCATGTCCCAGATTCTTGACTTTATTTATTAAATGGTTACGATTTTTAGT